AATGATATAGTCAAATGTCTTGGTCAATCAACAGAAGGGTCGTTATTTGTGGATGACTTCTTGATCTGTTACAGATCTAAGAACATGCACACGATAGAACGACAACTTCAACAGAGTTTAAACAAACTACAAAATTGGGCAGACGAAAACGGCTTCAAATTCTCTAAATCCAAAACTGTGTGCATGCATTTCTGTCAAAAACGAAAAGCACACAATGACCCAAATCTAACACTCGATGGCACTAGAATTCCTGTTGTTGAACAGACTAAATTTCTCGGCCTCATTTTTGATTCGAAACTCTCTTTCATACCACATATAAAGTATCTGAAGGATAAGTGTTCCAAGGCGTTAAACATTATACGAGTCCTTTCTCATACTGATTGGGGAGCGGATCGTGAAATGCTTTTGCGCCTATACAGATCACTTATTCGAACAAAACTGGATTATGGTTCTATGGTATACGGGTCAGCGCGCAGTTCGTACCTTCAGATGCTAGATCCAATCCATAACCAAGGGCTACGTCTTGCCCTGGGAGCTTTTCGAACAACACCTGTAAAAAGCCTGTACGTGGAAGCAAATGAACCATCCCTTTATGACAGAAGAATAAAACTTTCATTACAATTTGCAACTCAATTAAAATCAAACCCTAAAAATCCTGCTTTCAACCAAGTATTCAACCCCAAATACCAAAACATATTTACGCAAAACCAAAAACTTCTGCCAACATTTGGTATCCGAATTTTGAATTTCCTGCAAGAACTCAACATAAAATTGACGGACATAGCTGAATTTAACATATCTGATGTTCCTCCGTGGACCATTCAAACCCCCGATTTTAACTTTACATTACATGAGCGAGGGAAATCAAGTGTTATGCCCGAAGAACACAAATCCTCCTTTCGGGAATGCATTTCGAATTACCCTTCTCATACACAACTTTACACCGATGGCTCCAAAGAAGGTGAGAAAGTGGCAGCAGCCTGCTGTACTGCCAATACTTGCACTTCAGTCCGACTACCAGACGGCGCCTCCATCTTTTCTGCTGAAGCATGCGCCATTGGTTTGGCCCTCGACCATATCGATGAACACCGCATTAAAAAGGCAATTATTTGTTCAGACTCTCTATCTGTCCTACAGAGTTTACAGTTACGAGATCCTAAAAACACAATCGTACAAAACCTTGCTCATCGAATATCTCGTATATTAAAAAAGTCTAAAATAACTTTACTATGGATTCCGAGCCATGTCGGAATAAAAGGCAACGAATTTGCTGACAGGGAAGCAAAAAATGCATTGAATCTCGAACAAACAAATATCAAACTACCATACACAGATTTTAAACCTACTATTCGTACAGCCATTCAAAATGAATGGCAGAAACGCTGGTCTCTGGAGACCAACAACAAACTTTTTAAGATACAACCGAAACTTAAAACATCTATTCCCAGTCGGAAAGATCGTAGAGAGGAAGTTGTCCTCGCTCGGCTCCGCACTGGGCACACATATCCTACTCATTCGTACCTTTTAAAACGAGAAGATATACCTTCATGCCACGCATGTGACACTCCATTTACAGTGGAGCATTTTTTAATAGAATGTTCCGATTTTAAACACATTCGTGATAACTACTTCCGAGTCCCGGATATGAAAACACTTTTCAGTTCCGTGGATTCGAAGGCATTATTTAACTATTTGAAAGACATCGGTCTATTTTATAGACTCTGATGTCTTTTAACCCACCTTATCCTTTTTGACGTTATATATATATCGCATATTCCATATCATCTATTCGTTATCTCTTTTATTATTTTAACCCCCTTTTATTATTTTTAATTATCTACACATACAATGCGAATACTTTTAAAATGAACCATTTTATCTGATTTTATCTTCGCTATTCACATGTTTGTTAAAAAAGTAAAGTGAATAAATAAATCACCATGGCCCTAAATGACCACAGCCGTCGATGGGCCGTTAAACATAAACAAACAAACAAACAAAGTATTCGTTAGTACATATACAGCGCACGAGCATTCGTTAATACATATAGTGCACGATTATTCCTTAATACATATAGTGAACGAGTATTCCTTAATACATATAGTGCACGAGTATTCCTTAATACATACAGCGCACGAGTATTCGTTAGTACATACAGCGCACGAGTATTCGTTAGTACATACAGCGCACGAGTATTCGTTAGTACATACAGCGCACGAGTATTCGTTAATACATACAGCGCACGAGTATTCGTTAGTACATACAGCGCACGAGTATTCCTTAATACATATAGCGCACGAGCATTCGTTAATACATATAGCGCATGAGCATTCGTTAATACATACAGCGCACGAGCATTCGTTAATACATATAGTGCACGAGCATTCCTTAATACATATAGTGCACGAGCATTCCTTAATACATATAGTGCACGAGTATTTGTTAGTACATACAGCGCACGAGTATTCCTTAATACATATAGTGCACGAGTATTCCTTAATACATACAGCGCACGAGTATTCGTTAGTACATATAGCGCACGAGTATTCGTTAGTACATACTGCGCACGAGCATTCGTTAGTACATACAGCGCACGAGTATTCCTTAATACATACAGCGCACGAGCATTCGTTAGTACATACAGCGCACTAGCATTCGTTAGTACATACAGCGCACGAGCATTCCTTAATACATACAGCGC